CTATCACTTATTTTTACCTTCTGTTGAGTTTTGTTTCATATTTTTGATGGTTCCTCCTATTGGTTTTAATTTTTACTTACAACTTCACTAATGTGAAAATATGTTTAATGGGTATGTAAATATAAAGCCTATATCAGATTGTATGCTGTCTTGGGGAGGATGGCAGGGAGGAAGGGGGGAAAAACTTTCAACTCAAAAGCATATGGAAGTGATTGTTGATAAATCAAAATAAATTAATAAAAAAATAAAAATTAAAAAATAAATAAGTGAGCTGTTCTAGATCTGAATATACATTCAGCAGAGACCACCAGATGATTATACACATAAGTCAGTGTTATACACAAGAATCACACAGGATGAGAAATTATGGGTGAATTTCAACCTGCACTGATGGAAAAAATGGACATGCCAGTGAATAAAAGTCCTAGTTGGAAGGGGGGTCAGAGGTCATTTAGTCTAACCTGAACCTAAATAGGAATCACCCTACAAAATCCCCAACAGATGGTCATTCAACCTTTGCTTAAAGACTTCCATTATGGGGGTAGCTAGGTGGCACAGTGGACAAAGCACCAGCCCTGGAGTCAGAGGACCTGAGTTCAAATCTGGCCTCAGACACTTCCTAGTTGTGTGATCCCGGGCAGGTCACTTAACCCCAATTGCCTTTAACAAAAAAAAAAAAAAAGACTTCCAGTAATGAGGAAATGGCTGCTTCCCAAGGCAATCCATTCTCCATTTGGATAGCTCAGTTTCTAGTGTTTTCCTTGTATCAACCTTAATCTGCCTCTCTGCAGCTGCCAGCTATTGCATTAGTTTGGCCCAACAGAACAAGTCTATTCTTTCTTCCACATGACAGCCCTTCACATATTTGAAGAAAACAATTATGTCCTGTTTGAAATAAGTATCACATTCCTCTCTTCCCGCAGTGCTCAGGGAATACAATTCTAACATTTATGGAGGAATCCAGTGAATTCAATTTTTTAAAATCTCTATATCTTGAAAAAAGTCAATGTCTATTTTCTGTTCTTTTCATCATACTCTTCCTTCATAATCAAATTCTTCCTTCTTCCTTTCTGCCTATCCAAATCAACTCCAAACCCCACCTTTTCCATCAGGCCTTTCTTGACTTTTCCCAGCCCATTTTGATAAATTGGTTCTCTAACAACTGTAACCGCACAATCTATCAATGAAACTCAGCATTTTAGAGTTGTAAGTGACCTTAGAATGTAAATCCTGCTACTAATCTATTTTCTTTTAATGTTCTTTAATTATTTATATATTTCATGGTTTCATAGACTACAATTTTCATATTTTTTCATAATTATCACATAATGATTGAATCTGCATTACTCTTATCTCTACAAATAGCACCCAAATTCCTTGAAGATGTGAATCATACCTTATGTACATATTCCTTCCATTTCCTTGCATCTAGCACAGAACTGTATTTGTAGTAATAACTTATATAACTTTAAAGTTTACAAACCTCTTTCTTTGATATAACCTTATGAATAGTTCGTGCAAATACTATTATCTTCATTTTACAGATGAAAAAGCTGAGGATCAGAGAAGAAAAAGTGACCTGCCAAGGGTTACCTAGCTAGTGAGTGACACAGCTGGGTCATAAGTCATCAATGAATACTTCGTGATTTATATTAATTGGTTTTAACCAGATTATCATAATAAGACTATTATATTTACTCATTTATTGAAAAACATTTATTACTGAGTTCCTACCTTCTGTAGAGCACTGCTACATGAAGCACTACAGAGAATACAAGGAGACAGAAAAGAGCGTGCATATATAGCTCAACCAGGGCAGCAGGGTCAAAGAAGAGCTTTTTCAGGATAAGAAGATCTGAACTTGTCGGAAGAAAAAGCAGGAGCCAGTGGAGAGGGAGAGCTCAAAAAAAGATAGGGGAAGAGAAAAGGGATGACAGATATTCATCTGCCATATGAGTTCTAGAACAGGACCTAAGTAGAGAATGTAACCAAGGGGATACACAAGTTGAGAGGTTAACCTTGATAAGAAGTGATTATTCTCGCTCCAAGGAGTGAAAGAGGAAGAGAGTGAGAGAGAGGATTGGTAAAGATTTGAAAAAAATCAAATGAGAGGAGAACAAAATGTCTAGGAATAGAACTGGACGTAACAATTTTGAAGAGGTTTAGAATAGCTACCCTAGGGAATTCAGTGCTAAAACAACATTTGGAAAACAGATGATTTCTATTGCTTTGATTAAAAGTGTTTTGGGGAAAATATTTATTGTCAGAGGACACTGAGGAATATAAAGTGCTCAGAAATTTATTAGTACACACATACTCCATGTGTAAAGAAGGAATCTAGAGCACTGGTTCATAACTTATGAGTGGAGCTGCAGTTATTAAAGCAAAATAGTACCAGCCATCTCCTTAAATAGCTGTAAACTGAATTTTTTACAGTCAACTACCTTTTATTTAAGCACCTATTATGTGCCAGGCACTCTGCTAAATGTTAGGGATACAAAGAAAGGGAAAAACCAGTCCCTCCTCTCAAGGAGCTCACAGTGTAAGGGGAGAGACAATATGTACAAACAGAATGTTTACAAGACAAACTGGGGTTAGTGTCAGCAAGAAGGCACTAAAATGAAAAACAGAAAGTGGGATTTCACTTGGGGACTTCAAGGAAGCCAAGGATGCCAGGAGGTGGAGATGAGGGGAGAGAAAATTCCAGGCAAGGCGGACAACCAGTGAAAACACTTGGAGTTGGGAGATGTAGAGGAACAGCAAGGAGGCTGGTGTCACTGAATGAAGAATATGTAGAGAGATTGGAAAAGTAGGAAGGGCAAAGGTTATGAAGAGCTTCAAAACCCAGAGGATTTTATATTTGATCTTGGAGATAAATAGGGAGTCACTGGAGGGAGGTGATATAGTTAGATGTGGGTTTTAGGGAGATCAATCTGGCAGCTGATGGAGGATGGATTGAAGTGGGGAAAGAGGAGATGGGGAGACCAACCAGGGTTTTTGTAATACAGTCCAGGCATGAGGTGATGAGGGCCTACATTGGGATAGTGGTAGTGTCAGAGGGGAGAAGAGAATATATTACTATATTTCAAAATATGTTAGTGTTATTGTGATTAATAAAATACAAATTCATTTTAAAATGTTAATAAATGTGTAGTAGATTCTTCTACAGTATTTTCCCAATCAATAGATTGTAATAGTACAACTACTATCATACAGAGGTTTGAAAAAAATTTTTTTTTATATTTTATCATACTCATACATTTCTCTGGAGGTCAGGTCATTGCCTAGGATTGGCAATATAAAGCTTTGTTCTCTCTAAGTAGATCTGAAATACTCACCTCTAAAGATCAATAGTAAAGAAACCAAAGATGACCAGGTCTGGCCTTGGAAAGTCCTTGGTGGAGGAAAAGAAAACCAAAATGAACTTTAATGCCAGCTAATGAACTGATTCAACCTCTGTAATTACTTTGGCTTCCTATCAATAGCTTTTTAAAAGTGTTGTTTTCAGTGAATGGCTTTCTTATGTAGTGAATTACCCATGATGGAATATGTAAGTATTGGCTGGATGGTATAGAGGGAATTCTTATATTGAATGAGAGCTTGGAATATAGTTGGAAACTGTCTTTCAGCTTGTAGTCTGTGATTAGGAATCATGCTGTAATGCAGTGAGCTAACCATATGTACCAAAATGTCTAGTATAAAGGCTAAAAACACCCATTATATAAAGTAAATATGTTTAAAGCTGCTATTCTATGACAACCAAGTAATTAGATCAAGTGAAATAAAGCTAAAACACTTTTAAAAACTGAAATACTTTGTAAATGTTAACTACAATTATTATTTTCTCATTATGCCAATTACTGAATAGGCTTTTACTAGGGTTTTCTGCTTTGGTGCTCTATATTTTTTTTTGTTTGTTTTTAAAAATTTTTTAATTTATTTGTTTGTTTATTTATTGGAGGGGCTCTATAATTTAAAGGAACCTGAGATCATTGAAGGTGATTGAACTGGTGGATTCTGCTGCAAAGATGTCAAGGGGGCCTCACATGGTCTCTTCAAGTTCTTACTGGGAAGTGGGAAGGAATGAGGTTGCTAATTAAAATCCAATCTTTCTTTGGATGATAATCCATATCACTCCTTCAGGACTTCAAAAGACCCCTAGGTTCATCAGTGTGGGCTCCTTCCACATCTTAATAGATAAACTTTATAAGTTGCTGTAGCCAGAAGAATTTATCCCCTGGTGATGTGTCTTCTGGAGATGAACCTGTGTGTACTTTGTTAAGACTGGTCTTCAAAGAGAGGCAGCCTAGAGTTGCTCCCATACTCAAAGACTTTCCTAGTTGGCAGAATTACTAGAGCTAGTGTTCCGCACAGACAGCCTTTGAGAACTCAGGGTCACCTTTGTCTCTCAATGAGATACCAGGACAGAATTAGAGTGGAGGTGCACCCTTTGAGCCCCATCAAATGTACATGGAGAAAACACTATTGGACTAAGAACCAGGAGACCAGGGCTCTGGCTGTAGCTTGTCATTAACTGTGGCAACCTGAGTGAGACATTTCCCCCTCTCTGGGCTTCAGTTTCTCTATCAGGAAAATGTAAAGAATCCCCTCAAAGGACTGTTGTAAGGATCAGATGAGATGATGGATGTAAAAACACTTTGAAAAGTGTATGGTAGGGGGCAGCTAGTTGGCACAACGGATAGAGCACTGGCCCTGAAGTCAGGAGGACCCGAGTTCAAATCTGGCCTCAGACCAAACACTTGACACTAGCTGTATGACCTGCGGCAAGTCACTTAAACCCCAATTGCCAAAAAAAAAAAAGTATATAGTAAAACCAAAATGTCAGATGCTGTTATTTTTATCATCATCATGCTTATTTAGGCAATAGAAATGCCTCATGTCTAAGGCGGCAGATAAAAAGGACACATGAAGGTAGCTCAGTTCATCTCTGTTTATGAGTTATATATGTCAAAGGCTATTTTCTTAATAGCGTACAAGACAATAATTGGGGAGATGCCTGCTGTTTCTCCTTTAGAAGATGACATTGGATTTTTTTGCCCTTTGACTTATATACATCTTTAAAAAGAAGTTTCAGGACAGCCCAATTCATTGCTTATTTTTCAAAGTGAACCATTATTCCATTTAATAATGAAAAAATTATACATTTATTATCAAAAGAAACTTCAAGTATTTTGAACAATTACTATATATGTATATATGTGCACATACATATATGTGAGTTTGATACTTTTTAATGCTAATTCGTTTCGGCATGAACATGTATTTTCATAGTCAATATTAAGGCCCATCAGACAGTGAGTTTCAAATCAAGTGTATTGTTTGACCTACAGTGGGATGTCCTAATGTGGGGGTTGAGGATAGGGCATTCCTTGGGACAAAGTCAGAAACAGTAAGAAACTTTATGCCCCATTCCCAAAGGTGACCTCTCACGTCAGGTCCCATGAAAGAATAGTCTGATCCATGACAAATTTGCCCAAGCTTCCAGTCTCTGAATGACCCAGAAATAGCACAGTAAAAATTCAGTTCCTACAAGCTAGATGTCCCTTGGCCTTTGAAAATACAAAAATAATTAAGACAATTAACCTTAGGTGGAATGTTATGCTTCAGTACTTCAATCGTCTATGAGTTCGGTGGTATGAGTCTCCTCCACAGTTTAATTAAGTAGATAGTCTTCAAGAGCAGCTATAGCTGAAAATTCATCATCCATGGTGAACCTGGTGATGAGACAGAGCTATACAACCTCTTTTAGAGTGTGGGGCCGGCGCAGGCTGCGGTGAATGATGACGTTCTCCTTTTCAACCACAGTTGTATTTCTTGCGCTGGTTTGGCTTTTTCTTTTCCCTTCTTTCTGAGATGTTCTATCGAATCCTATAAAGAGGCAATGCAATGTGGGTGTGGACAGAGGGCCTTTGCGTGATAGGACTGGCCTGGCAGTGGAATTTGGTGAGACTGCCAACTAGACGTTGGACTTGGAGATGATCTTCTCCAGCAGGTTCATCATGCGCTCCTGAAGCTGCAGGCTCTGCACCTGGATGATGTTCTGTTGGTCAAGAATCCGTCGTACCTCCCGGCACGTTTCTTCCATTGCCCGACTCAGTTTCTTTTGCTCCTCCAACATTGATTCCATCAGTTTGAGCTTTTTCTTTTGGAAATGGCAGCTCTGTACTTTCCTTTTTTTGACTGGTCTTTCTTCTGATCTGAAATAAAGGGAAGAATAAAAACTAGTGAAATTTGCTATCTTCTAAGGGATTTAACAGTTTGGGACTTGCTCATTCATTCAATTCAGTTCAACTCAGATTTTTTAAAAGTACTAACTATATGTGAGGCACAATGTTAAGTGCTGATGATGCAAAGACAAAACCAAAAACCAGCCCTTGTCTTCAAGGATCACTCATTCTACTAGGAGAGTCTAACATGTATGCAGATAAGTGAAAGCAAGGCAATCTGAGAAGGCGAAATTTAGTAACAACTGGAAAGACTGAGGAAGTCTTCCTATTAGTAGGAGGGACCTACCCCAGCCCTTGAAGGAAGCTAAGGATTACAAGAGGTGGCGATGACAAAGTCCCTGAAACTTTCTGTTCCTGGCTTTGGCCCAAGGAATAACCCATCCTCAACCCCCACCTTGAGAAATCCCAGTGTAGGTCAGCCAATATACTTGATTCAAAACTCATGGTCTGATGGGCCTCAATAGTGATCATGAAAATCTATGTTCAGGGCAGTAGGTGGTACAGTGGATAAAACACTGGCCTTGGAGTCAGGAGGACCTGAGTTCAAACCTGACACTTGACACTTACTAGCTGTGTGACACTGGGCAAGTCACTTAACCCTGATTACCTCACACAAAAAGAAAAAAAAAAGAAAAAAGAAAATCTATGTTCATGCTCAGACATGAGAGAGACTGAAAGCAAAGAGATGGGAGCTGGAATGTTGAGTTTGGCAAAACAGCTAGTAGGGCAATTTGGTTGCAATACAAAGTTGATGAAGAAAAGTAATGTCAAATAAGCCTGGAAAGGTAGAATAGAGCTCAGTGGTTAATGACTTCAATTGCATTCAATTTAACCAACAATTATTAAGAACTTACTATTTGCAAGGCAAAGAGCTAGATGCTGGGGATACCAAGACAGAAATGGAAACAGTCCTTGCCCTCAGGGTGCTCACATACTATACAAGGGGAATACAGTAACTGCAAAGTATATAATGAGCAACAGAAAACTGTTTTAGGACCAAGAATGCGCTTAACAACTGGAAGAACCAGGAAAGGTTTAATGCAGGAGACGGCAATTGAGCTCTGCCTTAAAAGAGTGTAGGGATCCTACAAAGTGGAGATGAGTACAAAGTACATTCCAGATACTGGAGAAAACTTGGGTAAAGTTGTGGGGGCAAGAGATTGAATACCGGAAGAAACACCCACCTGACCAATCTGACTGGACTAGGAAGGAAAGGGGAGTGTTATGAAATTAGCCTGGGAAAGGGTAGTGAGTGCCAGAGTGTGGAAGGCTTTAATTTCTTGGTTGAGGAGTTTCAATATTTTAACAAAGGCATTAGGAAGCTACTAATGATTTTTGAATGGGGGAATAACATGGTCAGATCTATTTAGAAACTATGGAGAATGGATTGGAGAGCAAAGAAGGTGGAGGCAAGGAGACCAATTAGAAGGCTATTACAATGGTCCAGGTGAAAGGTGATGGGCACTTGAACTAGGGTAGAGGCCGTAAGTGGAGATGGGGGTGGAAATAAGAGAAGTTGTGGAGGTGTGACTGACAAGACTTGGCAACTGAGGAGATATCAATGAGGTGAGGGAGAGGGAAGAATCAGGTATGACTCCAAGACTTCCAAACAGATGGTTGTCTCCTCAAAAGAGATGGAGAAGTTTGAAGGAGAGATGGCTTTGGGAATGAGTTCTATTTTGGACATGTTCAGTTTAAATGTCAGGTTGAAGACTCCATCTTGTGTCCTAGAAGCAACAGGTCACTCTTAGAGATTTTAGAGCAGGAGAATAATAACGTGATTTCATGGACTCAGTGTTACTCTGCTGGAACCAGGCCATAAGCCCAAAGCTTTAACTTTTAAGATTTTAATGAAACGCTGACCCCATTCAAAGAAAACTTGATATGAGGAAATCTAGATTTACAAGTAAGATGAAATTTGGAAGTTATCAATATTTCCAAAGGGTTTACTTTGCAAAGGATTCACTAAAAAATTTCTTCAGTGAGAACAATAGAATTTAGAGCTAGAAGAAACCTTAGCTCTCTTACTGAATCTAAAATAATTCCCTTTGCAAAAAACCATTTTCACAGAACTTTTCAGGACATCTGTTAAATAAAGCAAGCACGACAGATAGCACAATAGAGAGGTGTCATTTCTCTTTGGACCTGGAAGGAGCTGGCAGGGTGAGAGTCCATGCCACGTCTGATGATGTCTGATCAGGCTCAAATGAGGGATCATTAGCCAGTCCCAAGAGATGACAACAGAATAAAGTGCCTACTTAAGGACTGGTTTCATAAATGTAAGGTCATGAGAGCATGTGTGTGTGATTCTAATTCACGTATACTAACACCCATTTTAGGGGAGAGGGGATCTGTCTTTATTGTATCAATTCACAAAATGGGCATCTGCCATTGCACAAACACAGCTTTTCCCACAGGCCGCTCCCAGCGAAATCTCCTGTTCAAAAGATCAAGCAAGAGAGCAGAAGGAATTTCAGAAGAGGACACAGACAAGCAGCACACTTTTGGAACTACCATGTTAAACCTGAATTATAAAAAAGGCAACAAATTCCATGCAGTTGGGAAGAAAACTACATAACAGAAATTCATGGTTTCACATGTAATAGCCTTTTTTGTATGTTGAAATGACCTTATTTATTTATGTTTATTAGTATTATAATAAAATAGAAAGTTGAAAACAAAAGAACAAAATAAAATAGGGGCAGGAGGGTAAGGTTAACTATAAACATTAGGGCTCCAAAGGACATAGAAATAGTCACTGCATTGAATGAGTCAAATTAAAAATTGTTCCTTCTGTCTGGCTCAAACCTGCTTTCTTGGACTTCTGCGTGACTATGGACCAAGCTTGCTTGCTTTGTCCTTTGCAACCCAGCACTTGACCCAACTTGCTCTTCTGGATTTTGGATGTACTTCTTGCTTTCAGTCTCCTTCTGTTTGTGATAATGTGTGTGATAATGGACCTTTATACCATGCACATCCCCATTCTGCTTCTCTCTGGTCCCTACCTGCTTGCTTGCTACCTAATGATAACTCATCCGTTATTTCTAACTCCCTGCTAATGGAACTTATTATTGTGGACTGCCCCACTTAGACCAAGCCATCTTGCCACGTACATGAAGCTAGATGTAGAAGCTAGATCTTTCCCTGAGTTGCGACTTGGGATGAGTCAAGGTCATAGACTCAAAAAAAATTTACTTCCTATGCTTTCTTTCCCTCTACCTTACAATTTCCCACCTTCCTCCTTAAGATGTTTACAAATAATGAACAGGTCTTTAAAGATAATCAAACTCATCCAAGAGTGAAGACTTGACAAAGTACAGTAGCTGTAAACTGTGTCTGAAGTTCTAAAGATCTAAAGGCAGTGAATCGAGGGCCGTTGTGACACTTCTCTCTCCCTTAGCAAGAGCCCTTTCTCAACCCTATACCTCCCCAGCTATTTGTCCCTCCACCAAGTCAACGAACTTTAGCCATGAGACATTTTTCTAAAGCTCACGCTTTTTTGAGTTTTCCACCCAGAAGGATGATACAGTATTCAGTGACCCAGGCCAAAAAGATGGGAAATCCAGACATGCCAAGAGTCCATCAAGCCCAGAGTAAAAGCATTCTCAAACCAATATTCTGAATACAGGGACTGAGGGAGAATGAAGAGTCAAAGATGACTCGAAATAATGATAATCGAACTCAAAGATGTTGTTGGGATGCTTGAAAAAGTATGAAGAGATAAGAGGGCCCAGAACACAATGCTGGAGGGCAGCTATGGTTGGGGCAGGAGATGGATGACGGCTATTCAGCAAAGGAGATGGGTAGGCTGTAGTCAATTGGACAGGAGGAGAATCAAGAGAGCAGAGCCACGATGGCTAACCAGGGAGAAATGTGCAGTAGAGGAAGATCCACAGGGTCAAGATCCCCAGGGAACTCAAGATGAATTAGGACTGAGAAAAGGCCATTGCATTAGCAACTAAGGTGACTGATGACTGTTGAGGATGCAGTTGCAATGAATCGAGGGAGTAGGAAGTCAGATTGCTAGGGGCTGAGAAGTGAGTGGAAGGTGAGGAAGTGGAGGCAATAAATGATGATTATGAAAGGGAGGAGAGACATAGTAAGATAGCTTGAGCAGGTAGTACAGTTAAGTGCAGGTTTTGTAAGGATTTGGGGATGGGGGGAGGGTTAAGGCCCAATGCTTTTGTAGGCAACAGGCTAAGAGTCAACAGATTAGGAAAGACTGATGATGTGGGGGATTGGGGACAGTGTCATAAGGATTCCAAAGACTCCAGTGTGGAAAGGAGGAGATGTGATCAAGGACACACTTACTCTTCTGAGTAAGGTTTGGCAAGGAGAAAGTCTATTTCTTTCTCTGAGACTGTAGCAATAGAAAAAAAAGTGAGAAGTGATGCAGAAGGGTTTTGAAGTTATAGAACAGGGAAGAAGTACTTTCTAATGGATGGCCCCTATCTTTGAAACAAAATAGGAAAGTAGGTCCTTTGTTGAGTAGGAATGGGAAGACATAACACAGAGGGCTTAAAGGGAGAAGAGATAGTTTGAAATAGCCACTGGGGGAAGTAAGATGGTTAATCAGGAAAGAATAAGCAGATCGCTATGCAACAGTCAAGGCTCAGTTGATATTAGATAACATAAATGTGTTGTGGAGCCAAGCAGGGCTGTATGACTTTCTTGAGTGGTGTTCAGCATTGTGGAGTTCATGTGAACAATGTGGATGGCACAGGAGTAACCAAAGGTTGGGGTTTGGCAAGGCTCCCTGTTTCCTTTAAGATAAAATACAAATTCACTAGCTTGACATTTAAAACGCTCCCTTTTCAGCTTTATCTCCTATTATCCCTCTTCATCCATTCTACTTTTCAGTCAAGTCAGACTACTAGCTGTTTCCTGAAATAAATATTCTGTTTCTTAACTTAGGATATTTCCATAAGCAGACCTCCCTGCCGTTGGAGTAGGGCAGTGATATGGTTAGA